TATTTTATTTTATTTTATTTTATTTGTCTTTTTCCGTGTCCGGCAACGGAGCGCAACCCTCAGTGTCACGCCCGTACGGGACCAGGACCGGCAACGGGATCGCAACCCTCGGTGTTGCTCCCACGCCTCACTCAGCCAGTGAGCGGGAACCGGTCCATATGTGGGATCCGAACCCTCGGCGGGAGCGCCGCCACGCTCCCAAGCGGCGCACTGTAGCAGTGTGCCACCGGGCCGGCCCATTTTCCTTTAAATTTTATTTTCCAAGTTGCATCATGGTCCCATAACCCTTTTAGAGTTCTGTTTTCAAGACTCAGACAACAAGAAGTCATTACTTTGTATTTATAAGTTGTATCCTGTCTATTTCCTAATGGACTGTAGGGAGCTGCTGCTTTTAAACAGTGTCTGCTGATGGAAAAGCTGAAAACAGTCACAGAGAGTCACTGTTAACTGAGAGAAATGCATTAGATGGTTTACTAGATTTTCTGTTGTAGCTGAATTTTGCTTTTCCTGGGTACTTCGTTATAATTCTGCCACAAACCCAAACTCCTTCAAAATGTCCTGCTAATATAGCTTGCAAAATTGAAATCATTGGAAAAATGACTGATCTCCCGGAGCCACTGTAGAATAACTAAGCGCCCACAATGCCTCAGTAGCCAGGGAGGAAGCTCCTGGAAGAGGACTTTGTGGCTTCGGTGCAGGATTCCTCCTATCTGGAACCTTAACCCAGTCATGAATCTGATGATACTAAGAGCCCAGTTAATGCAAGTGCTGTTAATTTCAACCTGCGTTTGTTATGCATTAAAAAATTATGCATTAAAAGCTAAACACTGCATTTGTTGAATCTCCTTTAAAGGAATCAAATGACTTACGCATGCTATACTGGCCACGTACATAAACAGAAAATGCAGATATTTGAAAACTTAGATAATTTAGCCATGGTCAATCGGACAGAAGGTGGTTAAGTATATATAAAACCTCATCTGTTTGCCTGTCTACCTACCTACCTACCTACCTATCCCACTGTAATCATATTTGCAGGAGTAGGGATTTTGGCCTTTATATTTACATCTACATAGGCCATATGAATAGATACAATTACACAAGTATATAAATAATAAGGTTATTATTTATTTCCAGATGTTCAGGTTGGACAAAGTCCATTTGGAAATAAATCAAAACAAAACACTCTGACTCAAAATACATGAAATGTCCTTTTAGTAGCTCAGGACTAATCAATGCATAAAATACGAGGCAACCACAAAAAATCCACGGGGGGAAATACCCTGTGGAAATGGCCAAAGTACACGATCAGGGAATGCCTCGGTCTCAGTTCAGATGTGGGCATTTTCTAAATGAGGATGGGGTAGGGCTGGTTTTTAACTCTCCATAGACGTTTGATAAACTAGATCTGATTTGCCAAAGAAAAGTGACTCCGTCCCTGAGGCTTTCACTTCAGTGATCTAAGCTACACGAGAACAAAAGAATGGCATAAACTGTTGAAAGATTTTAACAAAAATCTGTTACTTCTGGAAACATTTACATCATACCAATTGAGACAATCATGCAAATGTTCTTTTCTTTTAAATGTAAAGGTATCTGTAATATCTCACCGATGTTCTATACTACGTTCTAGGTATGATTTCCCTCAATTTATCATCCTCAGGGCACTTATCACTCTCTGACATTTTCTTGTTTATTGTTGTCTTGTCTGGAGACTCCTGAGAGCAGGGAGATTTACAGCATTGGTCACCATTATGTTCAAAACCCCTAAAACATTGTTTGGTTCCTAATGGCCGCTAAACACATATTGATTTCAAGAGGAGGACAAGGTCAATACACTGTACTACTGGTATAGTTCTCTGACCTAGAGACCTAAGAGTAACAGCCAAAGCACTGGGTGGAATGAGGACTTCTCAGGAACCTGACAATATTCATCCAAATGTACAGTCCTTGTATCTTGTATAAACTGACATTTTTCATTAACAATAAAAGGAAATGAGCCTTTCTTCCTTTTTTTTTTTAAATATCATACTCTGGACAACTTTATATCAAGACTAAGACTGGAAAAATTGGCAAAGAGAACAATGTCCAGGTTCTGGAAAAAGGAAATGAGAGTTCTATAGAGGGATGGGTTTCCCAGGGTGCCCAGAGAGAAACTTTCCTAACATACCTGAAATTCCAGGCCAGGATGGCTTCTGCCTCACTGATGTGGGCTGAGAAACCCCCCTGTTCACCCAGTGAGCTCTGCAGAAGGGGCTGCAGCTTCTGAGGCCGTGCAGGAGAGCTGAGAGGAGAGAGGCTGTGTGCGGGCACTATTTATTTCTTTAAGGACAGGGGAGACACAAACTCCCTACCTGATAAGCTGTGCATTGTCATGGGATTTGCGAGGTAGAAGCTTCATCTTCCTCCAGTCCAGAAATTCATGGAGGCTGGCGAAGGGGTCCTGACTTATAGAGCATTTGTCAATGTCATTCCACACTTCCACGCCTACCAACACTATCCGAATGTTCAGTGGCCTGTAAAACTGAGGACAAGAGGCATCCTTTGGGGATCACGTTGATGAGAACGTAAAATGAAAATCAGAACAGATTCGTGTTATGCAAGTTCATTGACATGGGTGAGAAAAACATCTCTGTGCTCCTTTGTTCCTGCGCATTCAAACTTAAGAAATATTTGCGGTGCCTGATGCAAAGTGATGTGTTAACTGGGTTCTTGAAGGTCAACCAATTAGATGCTAAAGTTATTGGCCTTTTTACTGTCTGCCTGTATTTGTACGGAAGCACACACATTTCAAATGATTCATTGGTGATTTAAAACGTGCATATAGATGTGTATTATAGCTAAAGACTGCCAGTTAATAACCACTGGAAGAAAAACAATGAGTAAATTAGGATCTTTCAGACACTTTTGCCAAGGACAATAATTTGTTCATTTTGAGCAAAATGTTCTGCCTATGAGTTACTGAAAATGAATCTGTATTAATTTTTCAGCAAAGACTCAGCCTTGGCCGACACTATCATATTCTGTCAACTCTAATCAACCTAGAAGGTTTTAATTAAATGAGCAAGTCAATATCTTTCAGAATAATAAAGGCTAAACAGAGCCCTCCTTCAGGAACCTGAATGACGATTTTTCTCCCCACAGCCAGAAGTTAGCTCACCAGGGCTGCCACAAGAAAGATCTGCTTAATGAAGGTTCCCCTTTTATGGGCTTGTGAAATAAAGCTTCAGGCACACCACTCAAAGCAAGTCTTCTCACACCCCATCTGCCCCACCTTTAGGTGTTGCTGACTTCACCCTACAGCCCACATTCCAAAGGAGATCACCCCAGGGAAAGCAACTCTTCAATGGCTGAGGGATGGTTTTGCCTCAGATAAGTCTGAGGTCAGGATGAGTGGCCAGAGGCATGACTACCTGTCACACAGACAGGAGATGGCTCTGTGCTCATGGCTGAGGGGGCGAGGATGTGGGGTCACCTGGTTGGCTGTGAAATCCTTCAATGCCTGTGATGTTTGAGGCAGTACACAGTGAGAAAGTTTTCATCTTCTGAGTCCCCAGGTAGCCAAGGAGAGACATGTGGCTAGTGATGGCAGCAAAGCCAACCTCCAGGTGTGAGCAGGTGCTGTACTCAGTTGCTAGAAGCATCTGGCTAATGAGTAACAAAAACCGTAGATGCTCCACGTTTGATAGTTAAGCATCATTCCAATGTGGTGAGTTAAAGTGTAAGAATCTCCCCAAAGCTGAGCATCTGACCCTGGAGTCTAACCCACGTAAGGCAGGCTTGTCTTTTCCCTGGCTGGTCCCCACAGCCATATGGTGAGCATCAGGTTAGCAGAAGAATGGGATGGGGGTACAAACCACATCACAGAATATAAACTGATTGCAACGGTCCATCTTGGTTTCAAATAGATAACAACTACAGACATTACATTAATAAGGGAATGAGACAGTGACACAACCAGAACGCTGTCCGACAGTTTGTTTTTAATCAAGAATTGCTTGGCCTGTGGTATCTACGTGCCTGTTCCCAGCCCAGGCTTCCCAGGCAAAATGAAGTTGCTGGACTGCTCTGGAGCTCCAAGTGCACGTGTTTGGCTGCTGTCCTTTGCGAGACTGCATTTTCAGCTGTATTTCATACAAAGGTAACAGGGATCACAAAGCAGAAACACAGGAGGTCCGATGCTGATGCTTACACCAGCTTGCTAAGAGATGTCCTCCGGGTCAGAGACCCTGCACAGGTTTCAGGGTTGTCATCTGAGAAGGGGACATTATGTTTGCCTCCCAGGAGTATTCTATGGAAGCAATGACTATGGTCTGAGAAGGATGCATTGCCATCATCTTTCAGTGCGAGCTTTGCTGCTTACTAACCAAGGAGCTTTTCATAATAATGATGGGCTTTGCGTGTCTACCTATTAGCCTTTCAAGCCACATCCTTAGAACAGATTTCATACTTGGAAGTATAGAACATACAATCCCCCCTCCCCTCCAAAATTAGTGCCACTGATTAACTGCCATATGTGCTCATCTCACATCAAGGCATCACACACAGTCCCTCTGCTGACTGCTTTGAACGTTCTGCCCAGGGCTGCTGATGGGGTCCATTGTGTTCTTCCTAACTACCACCACCACAGCTAGCATTTAATGAGCAATACTATGTCCTAGGCATGATGCTGAGGTGCTTTCTGTACCATAGCTTAGTTCTCAAAACAACTTATGAGCTAAGAACTATTATTATTTCCATTTTACAGTCAAGGCTATTGAGGCTTGGAGAGACCAGGTAACTCACTCAAGATCACGACTGCATGGCTGGGGTGTGAACACAGGCAGGCTGATTCTGATGCCGTGTTTTAAACCAGAAACACTGCCACCCTTGTGTGAGTGTTGACTCCCTTCCAAGATGGCCTACGGTGACTGCAGGCTCTGTGCAGCACAAATGGATCTTGGCAGCTGCCTGCCCGGCTTTTGAGCCCAGATTTATGTGGATACAGTCAGAGACTCCACAGAAGCGATTCACCTATTTACATAACAGCAGCAAATATTTACCCAGCTCTTACTGTGGGCTAGGCTTGGCACTGGCAGAGAGGACAAAGACTAGGATTGAATTGTTTCCCCCAGGTTTTATGTAGTAGAACCTTGATCCCTACTGTAACTGTTAAAGTTGGGAAATCCTTTTGTGGTAATTAAAAGGTGGGGCCGCAAAGAGGTGATTAGATTGTAGGACCATGCAGTAGTGAATGGATTAATAATGGTGGTCAGGGGTGTGGTTCTGAGGGCTTTAAAAGGAGAGCACTTGAGTCTCTCTCTGCTTCTGTCATCTTGCAATGTGATGTGTTCCCTGGACTTTGGACTTCCCAACCTCTGAAACTGTAAGCAATAAATTTTGTTCTCTTACAATTTACCCAGTTCCAAGTATTTTTGTTATCAGCAACAGAAATGGACTAATATAGGATCCCTCGCACCTGCCCCCCAAATGCTCAGAGGTCACCAGGAAGCTGAAGGCAGGGACACTTAGCCATTATTCCAGTTAACTCCCATACAGTGAATTGCCAAGCATTGGTGCAAACAGGGAGTCCAGGGGTGCTACCCTGGAGGGGTCACAGAAGGCTGTTGTGAAGAAGCCAATCTGAAATAAGAGTCCTGGGACTTCTCCTGGAATCCAAGGAGGGAACCTGCATCCTTCAGGCAACTGGTTTGGGGGAGGAGGGGAAGAAAACTGTCACGTGAGTGAAAATACCTGAAGAAATTAAAGACACAGAAGAGTCCTTTCAGAAGTAAGTCACGGGGATTCAGCCTTGAAGGATTTGTGGCTGGTGCTGACTTCTTAAGGAATAAGGACAGGTTGGAGCGGAGGGTCAGAGGGACGCAGCTTCGGCAGTCACTTCATTCACAGGCACGTGCTCTGCTGCTCCTCTGCAATTTAATCAGGACCTGGGCACAGTGGCTCTTAGTTTGTTCTAAAAGTATGAGTGTCAGACATAGGTTCTATGCTTCACTTCTGGGAGGGAGGGGGGATTCCGGAATGTTCAGAATGTCACCGTTGTCACTAAATCACTTCTCTGTCCTCCAGTCTGGAATGTTCTTCTCTCTCTTCAAGACACCACAGCCAAGCAGCCATTCATTTAAAATGGTCCCGGGGAGACAAGATTTCAGCCAAAGAAGTTTCTTCGGGACACTAATTGTTTTTTGGGTTGAGATGCTCCTACTTGTAGACTTGCAGAACTGGAATTTGGAACGCTTAGCAGAGCCAGAGGTCATTAGTAAGACTTGGATGCACAGAGTCTCCCAAGGGGCCTGGGTACCCGCACTAGGGTCTTTGGAGTCTGCTGGCGGTGGACAGGGCTACCAGGGCGGGATGCATCTGAGTGCTCAGCAAATCGGCTCTCTCCCCACAGGACGTACGAGAGCAGCCAGGCTAGCAAACTCCATTGAGTCCATTAGGACTTTTCTGAGGCATATTGTTCTTTAATTACCAGTGCAAGTAGTCAACAAACCCCCAATTGCTCATTTTTGGTTTTACGAACTAAAGCAAGATAGAACACAGAATAAGACATAAAGAAATACAAACACAGAGGGCCTAAACACATCATTACAAAACAGAGTTTCAGCAATTTCCAGCTTGGGTTTAATACAGTTTACCATTTCCTTTGACTTCCAAGGCCTAGGAAGAACTCACGTGCTCTCCCTCGTGTACAATCTGAGGATAGTTTGAGCCTTCCAGGCAGCGGTGTGTCCCATTCACCTTGGAGTGGTCACCTGTGCTTGTGGCTCAGGCATCTAAAACTTCTGCCAAAGTCAGTGTGTCCCAGTCCCATGTCATGTTAGAATCACTGGAGTACCCTAGAAAATATCTATGCCCAGACCCCACCCCAGGCCAACCAAAGCAGAATCCCCAGGCTGAGACGTGGGAATGGGTATTGCAAAAAGTAAACATATAAACAAGCAAACCCCCCCCCGTGGACTCTAATAGCCATCCTGGACTGAGAACCAGGATCCAGCCTTCACCCTCCCTGTCAGAAGAACTTACCCTTTACCAGGACTCTCCCACACCTTGACTTTGGGATAAAGTCTGATTTGCAAAAAGGGGCTACTGCGAATGCATCAGAAACCATGGGCTGGCTGGGAGTGCGACCTGCCTCAAAGGTCTGCTGGACAGCATAACATCATCCTGGGATACTGATGGTAACATGAGTGCTTTTGATGTTCAGAAAGTTCCATCCAGCCATTGCTCCCCACAAACAAAGGCTCAGAGTGCTCCACAAAACTCCTCCTCGTGCTCTTTCTTGCTTCCCTTGGGGTGTGAAGTGTCATCTACCTGCCGCTCTACAGCAAGGACCCTGCAGTCACTCGACCTCTGCTTCAGCTTGTCCTGGGGTCTGTGGATCCTGGGACTCACAGCAAGTAGAGTCCAGCCAAGGCCAAGAGCCCCAGCTGGGGGCCAGAGAGACTAGAGCTCATTCCCGGTCCTGCAAGTTACTAACCTCTGCAAACCTCAGCTTCCTCTGCTATAAGAATGAGAATAATCACATACCTGAGAGAGTATGCGAACCCCTGAGAGCCCAGCACAGAGTCATTGCTAAAAAAATTTTCCAGTAGCCATGTCCCTTCAAACGTCCCTAAATCCTGGTCCTTCTCATGGCCCCACTTCCCCTGCCCTGGGTCAGACCTTTGTCATTTCTATGCCAGAGGCTCCTGCCAGCCCTATTTATCTTTGGTTACTTCATCCTCCCCACTAACTACAGGAATATCTTTGTATGAACCTGTGTCTCTCTCCCCTGCATAAAAACATTCACGTGGCTCTCCACTGACTGCAGCTTAAAATCAAGATCGCTTTATAGAGCATTCGGGGCCTTGGCAGTGTGAACCCCCTGCAGCTTCATCTCTGCCTGCCCTAGCTGCATGAGCATACATTTACACAGACACGAGTACGCATGCACGCAGTGCACACAAATACCTGCATGCATGCACACAATGCATGCATTTACACATACATGAGTATGCACGTGCACAGTGCACACAAATACAAGCATGCACGAACACACATGTATGCTCACACAGGCATGAGTATGCATAAACACAGTGCACACAAATACATGCATGCATGAACACACATGTATGCACACACAGGCATGAGTACTCATGCACACGGTGCATACAAATATGTGTACGCATGCACACAATGTATGCATTCACACAGACATGAGTACACACGCATGCAGTGCAAATACATGCATGCACACACATGTATGCACGCACACAGACATGAGTATTCATGTGCACAGTGCACACAAATACACGCATACAAGAACACACATGTATGCACACACAGGCATGAGTACGCATGCACGCAGTGCACACAAATACATTCATGCATGCAGTGCACACAAATACATTCATGCATGCACGAACACAAATGTGTGCCCGCACGTGCGTGCGCGCGCGCACACACACACACACACACACTCCTTTTAGTCATAAAGAGCTACTCTCCATGTGCAGATCTGTGGGGAGCAAGCCAGGCCCTCTTTGCTCTGCTTCTGGGGAAACTGAACTCACCTTTCAGGATTTCCTCCCCACAAAGACTCCCTGACCCCAGGCAGAAGTGAGTGAGTGTTTCTGCATGCACATAGACTGAGATTCACAGCGTCAGCCTAGCTCCTATAGCCTTGGACCATGCTAAGTGGTTTGTGTGTCTGCTTCCCTAGGAAGCCATGACTTTCTTGAGAGCAGGGACCACTTCTGTTTCATTCTGAAATCTTGATGTACAGTGCTCAGTACAGTGCCTAAGGCCTTGTAGAATGGAGTTTAATTTCTGGAAGGGCATTTGCCTTCATTTTTCTGAAAACTTAGAGAACTCAATTCCAGTATAATAGTATTGCCTGGAAACAAGGTTAGAGTGAGGCACCTGTGTGTAATGTGGGACCACTTCAGAGTATCCCGGCTGAGAAATGCTCACTATGTCCAGGTTTCTTCTTCTTCTCACACTGTTCTCACAGGCAGGAGACAAGGAATTACTGAGAAGTTATGGTTGCTTTATAATAGTGGTTGACAGCCATGTTGCACATGAGAATTGCTGGCAGCTTCTGAAATACTGATGTCCAGGCTCCCCCTCTCCGCTGCCCCTGCATACACAGGCCACAGTGCCTTTGACGCTGCCCAGGCATCTCCTTGTGCAGGTCAGGGTAAGAAGCCCTGCATTAGCCTGAGAGTCATCAGCATCAAAGAGCCAGAGCTCTGCTCTGCAGGGCGTGTGGACAAAGGACAGGGGCTCACACAGACAGCATCTGGCTTCCTTGCCAGCAGGTGGAGTGAGCAGCAGTCAGGGAGCAAATACCCCTGGGGTTAGACCAGATTTCCAGGGGCTCTTCCAGCAATGAAATCTTTGTAAAACGTGTTTTTCCAACCTGTTTGTTTTCAGTGAGGGATTTTCCAGTAGCTGATTGAATTGAAAGTCAATTTCTGTGTCTCAGGAGAGTGGAGTCTGTGGTTTCCTTATAAATGAGAGCCTGCCCTCAGGGCCACGTTAGCACAGAGATGCACTGATGGGGACAATGTGAAGGTGCCTGTGGGATCCACCATAGGGAGACCTGGAAACAGCCCTGCTTGGGAATTCCCAAAAGGGCCAGATAGGGGTTCTGGACCTAATGCGGAGTCCAAGATTCCTTCAGATCAGGACTCTGCCTGGCTAGAGAGAGCCTGCAGGAAGATGTGTCCCCAAGGCCACCACAGTGCAGATATCCATGGGTTGGCATCTCCTGAAATTCTCCCAGGACCAGGGAATTACATGCTCAGAAAATGAGAAATTCTGAGTTCCAGACCAGGGCCCAGGGGCAAGATTTGGTCTCCCTGCTAAGTCAGATGAGGCGCACTTAATTCCCCTCAACCTCATTTCCAAACATTTACATGATTTGAGTGATTTAATTACTCAAGAAAGAACTTACCTTGTCAACGTGATTAGCAATCTCTATTAATCGCTGCTTAACTTTTTCCAGATCTTTTCCTTGCCTCTGAAACTTAACAATTTCAAATGTCAGCATTTATAATGGCAAGAATATCACTCAAATCCCAGCTCCTGGAAATGTGAAGTCTTAGCCTTTTACGAACCACCTGGGACCCTCCATGGCTGACAGTGAAATGAGCTTGCATCCTGCCCAGGAATTTTCCCTGCTGGGGACTCCCTGAAACTCCCTGAAATTCACGCAAGCCAAGTGCTCATAAGACAGTAACTTCTGTGATTTTTCAGCCTCATAAGAGATAGAGGCAGTGACATGTTTTGGCAAAGAGAAAACAGTCAACTAGAAAGGAGTCCAAAGCCATTTTTCATATCATCAACTTAATTTTAACTTCCTGAGAAATTTTCTTTATATTTGTTTTTAAAAATTAAATGGTGAAAGCAATAGAAGCTCATGGCAACATGTCAAACAATACGGAGGAAAATGGAATAAAAAGTTAATAAATTTCCCACTCTCCTCTGTAATCTGAACTTCCAGGATGGGAATAGTTTTCTGAGAAATTGTCAAGCCTATTTCATTTGTGTGTGTTGAATGAGTCTATGAGAAAATGTCACCTAATTCATAATGTGTCAATGAGGCAATACATAAACACAGAGAAGATGATCTAAAAAAAAAATCAAAATTAAGTAAAAGAAAAAGCTAATGTACTATCAAGCCATACCTCAGAGAGTAGGATTTTTCTGCTTTGTCTCTACAACCAACCCTCCCTCCTTCCTTCCTTCCTTTTGGTTTAGGATATATTGAATATTTTAAAAGCTAAACTTCTCCTAAAAATGTTTCAGAATACAATCTAAAGGCATCTGTCATTTCCCCCAAATAATTCTCCTGGTTTGTAGCGCTTACCTACAAAGCAACTCTTTTTCTGTAGGCTTTGCTATTATTTTATAATAACAGATACATTTTCAATATTTTATGCTTTATAAAATCAGAAAACCACTTTTTCAATGGGTTGTTTCCAGTGCTTTTAAGAGTGCATGAAAAATGAGGTTAATTAAAGCACATACTAACTTGCTAAACATTGCTGTTTTCCTTTTTTTTTTTTTTTCAACCAATCTACTGAGAAATTTCAAAAAGTTCTTACCTCTCGGTTGTCTGCCACAATAACCAGCTCCACGTACTTGGTCATCTTGAGGGTCTCTCTTTTATGCTGCCAAAAGAAAACATAAATTTAATTTTCCTTAACACCTTTGGGGCTTCCAGAACATTGTCAGTGTCTCTCAGTACAGCCACTTTAAGGTGAGACTCTGTCACCACCATCCCCACCGGGCTCCTCAGCCTCCATTCTATCTAGAAGTCTGCCCAGACCTTCTCAGCATGAGTGAGCAGTTTCCATTTCCATGTGGGAAATCCTTAAAAGGGAGCTTAACCTTTCTGCTGAGTCACTGATTGCTGGGTCAGAAAAGTCAAGATCATTATTAACAAAACGAGAGCACAAACACACACAACTGAAGCTCTCTCTATAACAGGAGCCAGTCAAAGGCTGTTCATTTCATACCACAATGGCACATTTGAAGATCACTAAAGATGATGATGGAGGGTGGCCGGTGGCTCACTCGGGAGAGTGTGGTGCTGGTAACACCAAGGCCACGGGTTTGGGTCCCATATAGGGATGGCCGGTTAGCTCACTTCAGAGGGCGTGGTGCTGACAACACCAAGTCAAGGCTTAAGATCACCTTATTCGTCATCTTTAAAAAATAAAAAGAAAATGTTGGAATTCAGTGTATCAAGGGTGTTCCCTTGACCTTTATGGTCCAAATGTACATGTTTTGTGACTTGAGAAAAGTGGGGGAGAAAATATTTTGAACAGGAACTGCATAATCCTTCTGGGGAAACACGGAGCATTCTATTCCAGGGAACTTGTTTTGTGGCTGATCATTTAAAAATGCAGTTAGGAGCAACAGAGAATTTGGGGTGGCCTGGAGAAAAGGGAACACCAGGCTGATGAACAGAGAGGCGAGAAAGAGCTACTAGGAGGAAAAACAGAAAGAAGCAAAAAGAAAGAGAACAGAAAGAAACAGTGTCGAGAAAGAAAAAAAGAAAAAAACAAACTGTGAAGTATGCCACTGGAGAATAGGGGTTTGGTAGGAGTGAAACAGTTGGAAAGAAGATGGAACTTGTATATCAAGGTGCGGGAATGGAGAAGACTCAGGCAGCAGAAACGCGCTCTCCATCCTCAGTGCAGGCAGCCCCCGAACTGGGCTGCATTTCATCGAGTTTCCTCAAAAAGCGCACTCTTCCGTGAATTACTGGGAGAATCCCAAAGGCATTTTTTAGGAGAAATAAAGCACTTCATGGAGGGTGGTCTCAAAAAGCAAATATGAAAAACAAAAAACAAAGCCTTCTGTTTCTGCAATAAAATACAGTTGGAGGAAATGGGCGTTGAGTCGGTCTTTGGTCATTATGACTGATATCACCGGTTTATGAGTTAACTACCTACACGGCCTAACGTTCAAAACTGTCATGTTATCACCCCCCTTTCAGACAAAAGCAAAATGGCTAAAGCATGCTTTGAATCAGGTTTCCAGTCACATAATCCTGAGGGAAACATCTTTTATAAAACAAATCCCCGTCAGTCCGGGATCGTCCAAACAGATTTTTACAAGAAAAATGTTTGTATTATAGCAGTGTTCTTTCTGGCTGCCCAGCTGTGCTGATTCATGAATTTAGGTGTCCCTAAAGAAATCCAGAAACCTTAAGGAGGAAGGAAAAATAAAGCACCTAGAAAGGTATAATTTCTCATATTTTACAATGTTACAAGAAAAAATGTCAAGCTTTGTAACCATATGTTACAGACATGCTTTATGGTAATAACTTCATACTAATAAAGGGAAAAAAACTGAGCCCCCGTGGTAGTCACTGGCGCACTGAAAATGAGGCGCCTTCTGAAAGTGTGAAGATCTTACCACTTTTTCTTATGGAGGTGTAAGAGAAGTAGAAATCTCTTTTTTGCCCTCAATTCCCTGATTAACCATGAACAATTTGGCTAATTATGCAAAAGAAAACATAGCTCGAGAAATGAAAAAATAAATCAATCTCCCATTGGAAAACTCACTGGAAGGGTTCTGGTTGTTTAGACGTTTACACTCTTCAGACTGCAGAGGGTGAAGTAAACGACCAGAGGATATTTCCAACTGGCCTTGGACCATCATTTAGAAAATACACAATTCCAGATAATAAAAACAAACGCATGAACACAATTTTCCTGTCTCTGCAGTTTTCAGAGAAGTCTACATTTTCTCATGAATTCAGAGAATTGCAAGCTCAGAGAGAAGCTTAACCACATAATAATAAAAAGCAATGCGGGAATGGACGGCAAAGGTTTGCTCTCCCGTCGTCTGCACATACAGAGAGAGGCTTAAATTACCTCCACATAATTTCAACCTATCTGGGCTGTCCAGTTTTTTCTTAAAAAAAGAATCATGTTTTAAATTTGTGATATGGAGAGCAACATTTGACACTGGGTGCTTGATCTAATTTTCACTTCTCGGGTTATGAACAAAAGCCCTTCTCCAAACAGGAACCTATGCCTCTGAGAATGGCCCAAGAGTTCCTGCTGCGAGGTAGATACAGAGGCATTCTTTGAGTCTTGCTCAAGAGGGAACCAGTTCCTGGGCCTCTACAGTCATTACAGTCCAGTTACCAGAGACAGAATATCCCCCAAACAGCCGGCAGCGAGAGCTCTGGCCCTAGGAACTTAACGCAACTCAAGTTAGAAGAGCAAGCTGAGATCAAGGTTACAATAAATTCTCATTGCAATCCTTTCTCCTTATAGGTCCAATCACCTGTGTAGTGTTCCTTTGCCTCCAGGATATCTGGGTGCCGTGGGTTGCTGGGGATACAGAGATGGACAAGAGACCCAGGTTACTGCCCTCATGAAGCTCCCATTCTAGTGGGGGCTGGGAGAAGGGGTAGCAACAAAGAATTCACAAAAATAAAAGTCTGGGAAATGCACAACAAAGAAAATAAACAGGGTTCTGCAGTAAGGATAAAGAAGGGTGGGGTGGGGCTGGGTCTGCTGAGACCTGACGGGGCAGAAGCGGGTCTGCGTGGAGAGGGCCGCAGGAGCAGTGTTGCGGGTGGATGGAACCATGTGGCCATCTGGAGGCCGTGGAGAGCTGAAGAGTTTCAGCAACAGGCAGCTCAGCTGGAGTCTAGCGAGTGAAGGGGGTGTGTGGACAAGGCAGGGCTGAAGGTGGGGACAGGGCACGGGGGCTGTGGCAGGGAGGTGGGGTGGTAATCTGCTGCTGGGAGGAGAAGGGATTGTAAGGGCTGGACGCTGGGAGCTGAGAGTGCAGCAGGGAGGCCGTGCGCCCACCATCCAGGTGAGCTACGGATGGCCGTGGCAGTGACCATGGAGATGGGCAGACATAGTCACGTCGGCTGTGATATAACCAGACACAACAACCATGGAACCAGGACCAGTGTTTCCATAGCTGGCAAGTTCAGCAAATGAAATGAATCACAAGTTTGGTTTATCTTCCTCTGAGCAAGGACAAATCATGATCAGCTCAAGCGAGGCTCCATGCCCTGATGCAAGGTCACCTTATGGGTATCTATAAGTTCAGCCCTGATCTCGGGTCGTCTGCACCTTCCTCATCAGTGACTTGCGTGGGGATGACACACGCTGGTGATATCTGCGTGGTCTACGGCCTCTGGGGCAGGCAGAATTCACCAGCAGAAGAGACAGTGTTCCAGGAGAATGCGCTGCATCGGATGAACCGAGTGCTAACGGGCTCAGGTGAAGTACTGAAATTGAGTCCCAAAACCCAGTGGCACAAGCGAGATCTGTTATTTATTCATCCAGAGTTCTAATGGATTTGAGATTCAGTAGGAATCAACACCTGGAAATCTGAAGGCTGAGCTCACACTGGCAGATATTCAGAGCCCAGAGCCAAGGAAGCCGTGTGGCCGGTCTCCCACACCAAACTTCAGGAAGAACCAAGGTGGCAGGAACACAGGATACGGTCTCTCAGGAGGTGTGGAAGTGATTTTGGTTACTGAGAGGAGTTAAATATGCCTGCTGTAATTAACGAGCTTTCAAATGCTCTGGCCTGTTCCTGATATCCAACCACTCTTAGGCTCTATGTAGCATATACATTACTCTTACTACTGATCCTACCACCACTACTGTGGCTTCTATAAAACAAGTATGATAGGCCATCCAGAAACACAAAAGCAACAGCACCGCTCACATCAGAACACTGCATGCCAGGGAACACGGCGGTGCCCCTGCCTCAGCAGCCCAAGCCCACGTTTCTTCCCAGAGAAGGCAGCGGCTCCTCTGCTTGACTCATAATTACCCACACCAATGGAGGGGAACAATGACACGGACGTTCCCTAATGAAAGGACAACTTGAAAATAATTTACATTTGCCTTTGGGATGTACTATGTGGTTTTCTCCACTAGCAGGTTTACCACCTTTGCTTAGGCTGAGATAAAAATTAATTTGCATTCTTGAGCGCATAGCCGATGGAGAGGGAAGGTGTCCATCGCAGGTGACGCTGAGACACTCCCTGTCAATCTATGCCCTTCCAGGAGCAACTTGGGCTCTCACTAAAACCTAATGTAGAGCCTTGTAAAAATAACATGTACTATGTGGTTTTCTCCACTAGCAGGTTTACCACCTTTGCTTAGGCTGAGATAAAAATTAATTTGCATTCTTGAACACATAGCCGATGGAGAGGGAAGATGTCCATCGCAGGTGACGCTGTGATACTCCCTGTCAATCTGTGCCCTTCCAGGAGCAACTTGGGCTCTCACTAAAACCTAATGTAGAGCCTTGTAAAAATAACAAACAGCAGCTCAGGTTTATACTAGAGCTGGTGTATACCCCAGTGAAGATTTATTCCTGATGCTCCGAGAAGAAAAACGCGAACATCTGCAGAAAAGTTGCACTCTGCAAACCAACCTTCGCAATAGTTAACATTCAGTTGGGGCAGAAAAATGCTAGGAAAAAGCAAATGCCATCACTGCACTGCATAAACAAGATGAGTTAGCTGCAGTTACACTTTTTTTTTTAAAGCATAAAATAAAGGCAGCATAAGTGAGGCAAGTGAGCACCATATAACTTGAACATGTCCCTTTCATGTTTACCACGGGGTCTACCCAAAACAACCTTCTATATAATTCCAATTCCCAAGCATTCTGCTTATTTGAAAATTATTTTTTGTACCATTTTCATTATGTACATGCATTTTAAGTCCAGCATGTTTTCTCTTCCGTAAAAACAATCAACTATTTCTAGAGAGAAATATTGAGAAGTGAGTTGACCGGCATGAACACCTTCCCTTTTCAATTTAAAGGTTCATTTACACTTCAATATGCATTATTAACAAAACAACACGGTTATTTGAGTTCTCTTCATTTCGCTACAAGTCAAAATGACTGGAAATTACTGTGACAATCATAGTTCTAAAGAGCTGTAAGCTATAAAAGAATTAAAATATGGCTGGCAAGCACAGAGCGAGTTTGTACTTCCAAATGAAAGGGCAAACACATCTGAGTGTCATTTAAACTGTCACGTTACAAATCTCACAACGTGGATAACATGCAGCGACAAGGTACTCAAAGCAAAGCACCTGGAAAACAAAATGAAAACGCTCTACTTGCTTGTGACCAGCAGAGCTACCGCACAGTCACATCTTGTCTGAGGGCTGCAATCGAAGGCAGAAGTGTTTGAAGACTGAAATCAACATGCCTGGGACCACAGAGGCTGGTCTTTGTGACTCCAGCTCTTAAATATGTCACTCTAGGACGGGTGGGGGGAGAAGCCCTCCCGAGCTGGTGGGGGCGGGGGCATTTTTTAGGCTCAGCTCGCTGGGATTCAGATGCAGCCTCCCCCACCAAGCAGCACGTGCACTGTGATCCACAGCACGTGCACAATGATCCACAGCACGTGACAGTGATGGGAGAGTCCTCCCCCTCCCCCTCCTGTCACGGGGCAGGAAAACAAAAAGATCCTGTGAGCACCTGTCTTAGGGAATCTTGGGAACACACTAGGAAACAGTTCAGGGGGACAGACACCTACGCACAGGTATGAGAGGATTTTTAAGAATGAGAAGAAATCATTTAGGATAACCCTTACTGTTTAAATTTAGGGAAATGATTTAGAATAACTTTCATGAAACGTTAAGTGTTAAGCAGTGATCGACTCGAAGTTGGGGAAGACAGAATGTGTTAAGAGGAACCTTGAAGAACGTGTCCCCAGACAGCCAAAGGTGAGCACAAGTGACGTTTTACCTATGATTTGTTTTGATTTCTTGTGAACAGAGGAACAGAAAATCAGAGATTAAAAAAATCAGGGAATTGTTGATAACTTTCTACCTAATTGTACTCATTTAAATTCAGGGCCTCCAGCCAAGTGAGCAGAAGGACCACCTTCCTTGCCAAGAGAGTTCCATTGTGGCCTGTGTCGCCTGTAATACTGGATGGAAAAGGGTCGGGCAGCCATTTGGGGCAGAGGTTTCATGGTGCTCACGAGGAGTGTGGGGAAGGGAGTCTGTCCGCAATGCAGACTCCGTTAGGCAGTTACTTTTCTGGTGCTGCGGCAGAAAGGGAGACCTTTTATGAGCAGGTGGCCAGAACACACAGACTGCTTGGACAGCCCGAGGAGGGAACCAGGACAGGCATTTGTAGCTTGGACTGGGTGGGCAAGACTCCTCAGCAACACCACATGCATCAAGACTCAGCTCACTTCTGCAGGAGCCTGTGGGCAAAGACTGAGGATTTCCTGCAAGTTACAACAAGAGCCCAGACTTGCTAATAAAGAAACCCCCGTCTGGCCTTTCTCCTTTGGTGGGAGAGCTGCCGGAGAGTGGGTCGGGGTCTCCATTCTCATCTTGTTTGCCATGGGGGGAGCGTCCCAAACCTGGCTCTAGGCCCATAGTCGGTTCTCACTGAGATTAAATAAATGGTGATTTTGTCATTCTCTGATCCCAACTATGGGATCTTACCCAGCGTATTTCAATGAGCCTGAGGCTGACATTTCCAATGCAACGATGGAGACCTCGGTTACTGGTCATGCTCTGCCACATGATGTCAACTGCCTCCAGACAAACTGGGGGCTTCCATCCCCCAGACACCCAGGTAGCGAAATTCCTCCAGATGTCCTACACTGGGTGTCCATGGCTTGAGCCCCTCGCGTCCCAGAAACACGAAACCCGGTCTTGCTCCTACCCTTCTTGCCGGCGTCTGAAAGGACGGTGCGAGCATGTTTTCTGCGGCGAGGCCCGATGTGTTATGGTGCGATCCACACAGTCCCCAGACGCTTTTCAGGTTTGTCGCTGCGTAGAGTTTGTATCTATTAGTTGCATTTTTCATGGGTTCTAAGACGTAGGTTTTATTTTCAAACATGATAAGTCCCCTGTTCAAGAAGAAATAAGAAAAAAAATAGATAATTTTAAAGGACAGCTTCTTGTTTATGGCTAAGACAGTTCTTAATGAGAGAGAATAAAAGGAGAAATACCAACGTCTCTATATTCTCAGGTTTTAATGGGACATGACATTTCTGTGCCATATGTTTGCGCTGGTTCATTTTGCAAATCTTTTGAAAAGCAAGCCTGTGAACTTTTTTTGCTGGAAATATTCTATGGTAAAGAACACATGGCATTTTACCTTTATGTGTTTTTTCCTGTTTGTGTCTCAAAGATATATTTCTAGGAAGAAGAGTCAAGAGGAAAAATGTTTTATCTGCTTGGAAAATAACTATCTCTGAATTAGCAGACACAGTTCAGAAGGGAACCCTTTTTTTTTAAAGGATGATTTCTACATCCCAATTACTTATCCTGATCAATCAAATTTCCTAAATATTTGATGGGATTCTGATATAAGGATGCTTAATTACAATTTACTCATCAATTTATAAATTTTTGGCATTTTCCTTATGTGATTTGTGGGAGATATGTGAGTAATGGAACCATTGTAAGTACAAAGCATTAGAATTGCTCCTTGGAGGCTGAGGTCAGGCCTCTGGATCCAGTGGACCTCTCTTTATAGAACTGAAGACAACCATTGGGAGAAGCCCCAGCCCCAGGGCTGAGAAAGTGGCCTCTGCAATCTAGCAGCTCCGGGTTGCAGTTCCAGTCTTCTACTTACGAGCTCTGCAGCCTTCACTAGGTTCCTTAACCTCTCTGAGCCTTGGACTCTTCATCTGTAAAATGGGGTAATAGTATCTACTTCTCAGGGTTGCTATGTCATCTAGTTACAACTCTAGTTATTAAGAAGTCAGCTTCACAGATTTGGCTTCTGTGATTCCAAAGACTGACAATTTCAGGAAAGTCTTATGCTTTGTTACACATCTGCCCATAGGAATACTGACCATTTGTGGCCCCCTGATGTGACATATAGCATTAATAAGATAAATATATTTCTGGGAAGGACAATAAGTAAGAAATAATCCTTTGAGCTAACCTTTAACTTTGGAAATAAAAGTAAAGATTTTTTTTTTTTTTTAAAATGGACAACTTGCTAAACATTCTAACTTGCAGAGATAGAAGGTGGTGTTTAGACACAGACCATGTTGCGTGTCTGACCTTCTGTAGTGCAGAGCTGAGACTGTGTCCTGCTCCCTGGAAAAGGGCACCACTAACCTAAGGGTGTCAACTTCCTTTAAGCGACAGGGAACATGGGCCTGCCTGTTGGTTTTCATGTCTCTCTTTTCCAATGTAGGACAGTAAAGTACTTCAATTTAAAAGGTGCTTCCTGATGCTGAAAAAAGGTTTTCTTTGGAGAAACAGCATTGGGTAATAGTCAACTGGCAGCTGTACGAGTTCCCACAAATCTATCTAGCACCTTACATTATTTAGCAAGGTGACCACAATCTCTCCACTTTAGAAACATGCAAAATCCATCTGACTGTAGATGGACACTTTTAACATGGTGACTGTTAACCTTTAAGACATGAACCTCTTTAGACTGTCCCCAGAATAATTCATATCTAGACATAACCACAACATTTTGCAAATTATCTTGGCAGATTCAGCACTGAGGATGAAGTCCATGGACGGTAGGTTTAGGGCACCAGTTCTGACACATAACTTATATTGCACTGATGCAGGTGTCTGAGTACACCTTAATCCTTAAGAAACAGCATGCTAGCTGCACACCGGCCAGCTGCTAAAAAAAAAAACAAACGCACCTAACAGAATGACAGTATTTCAATACTCAGATGGTACAGAAGGAAGAGGTTTGAATCAGTCAAGTATCTGTTTTGAACACAACTGGTAAGCAAGTACACACTAGTCAATTCATTATTATTCAGTTCTCACACATAAAACTCCACCAGTCCTGTTTTATGAGGTGTTATAGGCAGTAGGAGAAACAGAAAGATCAGGCCCAGGATGCTGCTGGTACCCTAATCAAGAAGACAGCACCGAGACATGGGACAATTAGAAATCACAGGAGAGCTAAGCTGTGCATTACCAAGAATCCTAACACGTACCTGCTCAGAGATGAGGGAAGCCCAATGTGGTCTGAAGGGACTGAAGAATTTTTGGCTATTTTTAAATCCCACAGATTGATTAAAAGTCATTATATGGGGCTGGCTGGTTAGCTCACTTGGGAGAGCATGGTGGTGATAACACCAAAGTCAAGAGTTTGGATCCCCTTACCAGCCAGCCGCCAAAAAAATAATTTAAAAAATCATTATATGTAGCTGTTCTCTCTCCGCCTCAGCCTCCCCCCAAACTAGTGTCTGGGTCTGTCTTCAAGTAGATCATACAGACGTGACTGTGGTCATCAGCGCTGTGGGGTGGCTTGTTTCTCTTTCCTTGTGAATCTCTTCATGAAACAAAACTTAGATTTCTAACTTTAGAATGGAGAATGAAGGATTTTTGTTTATTCAAGTTGATTTAAAAAGCCTAAATTAAGAAAGAGAACCTTAAGAAATAGGCAAGGGGAAAGTGGAAATGAATAGAATTGAAGGGGAAATACAGATTTGCTAGAAGACTGACTTTCCTGCCCTAAAAAGAAAACGGCCACCACATTTTATTCTGTACTGTGAAATTTTCTATTCTGCATTGGATTTAAATAAGCCGACCACTTATAGTAAAACATGTCACCACATTCTCATCATAAGAAGCTAATTACTTCAGTTTTTCTACTTAGTGGAAAATTTCTAGAAATTGTTACTCAGTCATAAAAATGTACTCATATCTTCTTTTATCTTTTAAGTCATCCAAAGGCCAGATGCTGAGAAACCGAGTAAAGGCCTTCCCTTTGCTCCAAATAATTGGCAGTCTATGATACAGCTTAATTAAATAATTGCTTTAGACTGTCTCGGGTGTAATTAATCATGTAGCCCTCAAGATTGCTGGAAACAAGAGTGGATGCAAAATTCAAGCGCTCAGTGTTCCTGAGATGTAGAATTTTGATGTTCTCCCAGCCCCTTCTGGCCCCAAGTTAGATAAGTGAATGTAACTTGTTTTAAGTTAAATTTCATAGATAGTTAGGTATAAACTTAGCATTGGAAGAATCTCGGAGTATGGAATTTAAATACAGCAGACTTTGAATGTGGGTTCTTTTCCCCTTGGTAGAGCAGAGGGGAGGAAGATCAGAGGAGAGTCTTCGGCGTCTGGGAAAGATAGAGACTGTGGGCACCTTCTCTAGAGGGACAGGATGGGGTATGAAGGACACTGGACCAGGCAGCATGAGCGAGGGGAGGCCAAGTTCTGGGGCAGAAGGGAGAGGGGTTGTGGGGTGATCAGGGCCACCCCTTGTGGGGCTCTTCCTAGGATCTGGGCTCTGGGCTTTGCCTTTTACATTTGTTACTTGGCTGACTCTCACACAGCTGCAGCTCCGGCCATCAGCCCCACCATCCATGGTGAGCAGGTGGCTGAAGGCAGAGAGGGGATCCAATCTAGACTGGGTGTCCAGGGCTTGGGCTTTTCCATCCCCCAGTGCTGTTTTGAGAGAGATAAGGGACCCAGAGTGGGGACGAGCACGTTGGAAACACAAGTAGAGAAGAAAGGGGCTGCAGAAATGGAGAATCGGCAGCCTTCCTTTAAAATTTAAAATCCTGTTGTTTTTCCTTGAACGGAAACAAGAAAGAATCTATTAAAATTTTAAGTTGATTTTGTTAGCTTTCAAAGTGAAAACGCAGGGGACCTATATTTCCTCAAGGTAAGTTTTGTCTTTCAGAAAATTCAGTTTTTAATCTTCTAAGTGCTGGTGCATTGAGCAATCACGTAGCTTAATGTTGTTCTTATTAGGATTTTCTCTTCCTCGTCCCAGGCAAGCAGGAGAGTGGCACATGGGTTTTGACTACCTGGAATAAGATAATGATTAGAAAATAGGAATTATCCTGGCTAGTGCAGTGTTCAACCGCTAATTGAATTTCCTGGAAAAAGACCTTTGGTCTCAATATTGTGCTGTCATCATCAGTTGGAAATGCAAGTTGGCATGCAATTTAATTTCAGTCCTTTTTTGGGAGGAGCTCATGGGTAAAAGTAATATCCCACCTCATATGCTTGGTAAACAGTGATGGTAGGGATATCGGGGAACATGTAAGCACCACAAGGTTTATTTTTAATAAGTAATTTCCACGTGAACTGCTCAAGGACAGTAAAAACAAATATTCATTATCCCCTACTACATTCAAGGTACTGGGCTAGAGACACAGAGACAACTTCCCGTGGTTCCCATCCCTAATGTAACTCATAACCAGGGGCAGAAGCACCATAAAAGATGTAGGAGTTTAAACTATTCTAAAAGATCCTAAGAATAGTTATTACTGGCACATCAGTAATAATAACAGCAGCTATGATTTATGAAGAAACCATCACATCTCAGGCTCCTTTTTTTTAAATAACAGCTTTACTGAGAAATAATTCACATATCATTAAGTCCACTCTTTTAAAGCCTGCAATTCAATGGTTTTAGTATACTCACTAGGTTGTGCAAGCATCACCACTAACTGCAGAACACTTCCATCCCCACAGAAGGAAACTCCGCGCCCATCAGCAGTCACTCCCAACCCTTCCCTGCCCCCAGGAACCAGGTTTCTGAATGCATTATTTTCTCTAATTGTGACAGCAATCCTGTAAAGCAAATAACATGAGTCCATTTTACTAATGAGGAAACCAACAATGAGAACCCAAGGTCACTGTAGGGGTTGAATTGTGTTCCCACAAAAGATATGCTGAAGTCCTAATCCCCAGTACTTGTGAATGTGATCTTATTTGGAAAAAGGGTTTTTGCAGATGTAATGAGTTTAAGGATCTCAAGATGAGATCAGCCTGGATTAGGGTGGGCCCTAAATTTTATGATATGTGTCCTTATAGAGACAGAAGAAAAGACACACAGAGACATGGGGAAAAAGGCCAGGTGAAGCTGGATGCAGAAATTGGAATGACATCTACAAGTTCA